AAAACAAGGTCTAATGGAGTTTGTATTCGCATTTGAGAAGGCCAAAACACGGAAAATATTCACCAATTTCGACCAATTCCAATTTCAATTCCATTTTTGAAGAAATAGCCTATAATGCTTAACCTAATGCTGACGCTACAATTGTACATTGCAGATAAAAATTGGTAGCAAATGATTTGAGAGTTACAATCATATTCGCAGATGCACCAAAAAACCAACTCTAGAATTGGTGCATGCCTAATGCAGATTAGTTCACTGAACATCTATATTTTCCATCTCTTTTGCCATAAGAACGGGATGTTCAGGCTTTATTTCAATGCATAGAAGATAAAAAAAACAAAGTGTCTCATTTTTCTTTGAAACCATCCTGTTATGTTGTTTACTCTGTGCATAATAGGAAAAAGTTCATGTTTCGTTCTCGTATTTTAATGTGTCGATATTAACTTTCGTCCTTTTTTGTCTCTTCTATACATATCTATGCTCTATACAAATTTATAGAAAGATGAAAATTATAGAAATAGATCTACTCGGCAGTCGTCTTTTACTTTAGATCGTGGTTATATATTTGAAGGTTTTTTTATTCTATTATTCTATTTTCCATCTCGATATTTATTTCTCATTTGATCAATAACTGAAATAACTACACCAAACAAAAGATTATTCATCCTTATATTCACAGATGAATGAACAGTAAGGGAGTGAGAAGAAATCATGACATCCGTACGTTACTATACTTGGTAGTCTATTGTTCAATCGAAAAGACTAACTTGTACTTGCCGTTAGCTATACGGAAGAGCGGAGAAAAGAAAAATAAATGTGAAAATTCATGGTCATAATAGAATAGCCGGAAATAATTTGAGTGGATAATACATCCGCAATCAAGAAGATTGAAGGAGGAGAAAAGGAGATGCCAATTAATTAATGGAATAATAAAACTTTTACTACAGAGAAAGTTACATCAAAAGTCTGGAAGAATCTGATTAAGTGTTCAAGAGATCATCTAAGAGAAAATCACTGAAAACACTTTGAAGTTTGTTTGTTTAAGATAAACATTGAAAAACACGATACCAGTAGGGATAATCTATAATATTCTTAGAATAAAATGATTTTAGTTCAACGTAAAACTGTAATATTATATTTTTAAAAATTGTCACAGTCAATGATCATGTTAAGACCACTTTTTATGTAAGTTAGATCAAAATACTTATAACAATAAAAATTATCAATTGTAAATGTCGTTTTTTAGTAGAAAAATAGCTTTTAATATACTAATCAATATGTCATTGATTTCGTTGACAACCACCCGTCTGTGTTCAACATTAGTTATATCCGCATGATATCTGAGAAACTTGGAGATAATTATTTACTAAGAAGTGCCTATCTGACTGTGCCCTTAAACTATTCTATATTAGAATTACATCATAAATATTGCTGAACAACAAGAAAAAGAAAACAGTGTACCACCAGGCATTCTTCATCAATAATTATTTTTCTTTTTTTTTTTCTTTTTTTTTTTTGTTAAAAAAAACGTAGTCGAATAAAGAAGAGAAATATATGAACATATATATTTTTTTTCTATTATTGCTGTTTGTGTTAATCGTCATAACACGAACAGAAAAAGAATGTAAAATAAAACTACGTGCATATAAAGTGTATTCATTAATTTTATTAAGTCATGAAAGATCATCAACTAAACTAAAACTATAAGACACTTCATTTCGCTCAAAACATAATGTATCATCCGACAAATCCATTTAAGAGATAGACCATACAAATGAAAAACCATTCAAGCAAGCAAATAAACGTGTTTTTTCAAGGAACATAACAAAAATTGAGTAACTTTAATCTCAATGATGAAAAGACTCATTTCTTTGAACATATGTTCATGTTTTAGAATCTATTATATATTCTTCTCATAGATTAATTTGTATGTTGTTTGTGTGCTTGAAGTAATTTAACCTCATTTTTAATTAAAGAGAAAAAAATACTATATCCATCTAAACGGTAAACGATCGTCATTATAGTTGACTAGAACGGAAGTTTAATGTTGTGTTCATCTGTTAGTTCTACTAACATAGTCAGAATCAATCAGTCGAGTACATATCACTCACTCATAACCAACCATTGTAGCCAAACAAAAAAATCGAAGTCATATATTTCCTCGTATTTCGATAGTATACAGGCTTTTTTTATAGGTAACTTATGATGGAGATTACTGATGAAGTTGAAGCTGGTACACTTATGGTTTCTTAGCTGATATTTGAATTGATATATTTATACCTCGACTCGAAGTATTAGAACTTGCTCGCTTGTTCTAATACTTTGTAAACCGATGTAATCTGATATTTTCTATGAATTGATGCTATGAAAACTAGTTTTCGAAGTTGATATGGAGTTTCTGGAAGCTCGAATTTTATAGAACGATCAAAGAGAGGCATACCAGACAGAATGATATCAAATTTGTCATCTTCATTAAAATACAAATGATCAGAAGAATTTTGAATAGAATAAATAGATTCTAAACTGAAATTCACTTAAATACGAATACTAGTATAAAAAAAAGTATCGTAATCTAATGATATAAAGTCATAAATTGTCTTGATATTCACAGATAAGGGATATAATGCGAATGAAGGTTGGCACATATATCTATATGTTAACTCATTATCTTCTCCTTCATTTGAGATCAATTATGCATGCGGATAAATCAGACAAAAAAAAAGAAGTATCATCACTATGAAACAAAGAACATCATTTTACACAGGAAAAGAAAACAAACATTTATCTTTGACCGACAACACGGAACAAGTATCGAAACAATTCTACTTTAATTCTAACCAAAAAAAAAAAAAAAAGACTACACTATGTACTATATTTGTCATGTGTATCCTGCTCTCAGTATGTAACTTCCGACTAGAAAATTGTACAGAAAATAAATTGTTCAATAGAGAGAACGAAAGTACACAAGTCTCATGTACACTGATGTAACAGAGGAAAATGACTGAAGCAATTGTATTTGATAAAGTAGACGTGTTAGAGAGAAAAAAAACGAAAGGAAATAGAGACATTGTAATAACACCATTTAATTGTAATAACCAGTTAATTGTACTACATAGAGAATAGTAATAAGCATATTTCTCGACAGTCATACAAACATGTTATAGACAAAATAAATGGAGAGACTCTCATTTCATTAGCGATTAAAATTTCATAATAATAATAACTATGACTATGACAAGCAGAAGAAAAAAAAACATAATTTGAACTTTTAGAACAACATGTTATATCGGTAAAATAATCCATTTAATGACTCTTTTTCTTTGGAAAAAACAGCTCTTTTAGCTCCGGTTCTGTAACACTTGCTCTCACTTCACAAAGACATTTTTGAATACTTGTAGAGCTATATGATACTTCTATGAGCTATTAAAATCATCAATTTTGAAAGAGTATATTTTTTTTGCATCGTACATTTTTTTATCGTTGATTTGATGAGTCTGAAAAAATAGTCTTTATTGATTTTCCAGTTAATCAATGTCAAGACAAAACGGTACTATTTATCATTGAATTAACAGTTGTCACAATAGAAACATTAGACTCTTTGTTTAAATGATATTTAAAATATATCAATTTTAGAAGAGAAAAATCATGACAGTACATGAAGAAAGACTAATGTTTTTTTTCTTCTTCAAACAAGACTATTTTAATACTCAGATTATTATCATTTATATTATATTAATTCTTTTTTTATCTTATTAAGATATATCATACGTTGTACGATTTTGAATTACTATCAATTAACTGAATTATTTTAGAATAATATAAATATTTTCCATAAAATAAATTATAACAATAATTTAAATAATAAAATGACGGAGACTGTTCGATATTGAATAGAATATATAAAAAATATGCTATTTTCTATCTTTTATTTATTATTACAAACAAATAAACATATTGGAATGTATCTTTTTATAAGCACAATAACTAACAAGTTTTATAATAGGTTTTTCGTTCTCATTATACAGTGAACGATTGATAGACACATCATCACGATTACTTATTACATAATATATGCATGCGCGCACATACACACATACGGTTATTTATTCTATATTATATATATATGAGAGAGAAAAAAAAAAAGAGATAAAACTGCAAGTTCAAGAGGGTAATAATCATTACTTATTTTTCTTCAAGAAAGTAATCTTTCTTTGTTGAAGGAGTGGATGTACATCATCGGATAATCAATCGAAACAAATCACTTTCATACATAAGAAGAAGAAGAAGAGAAAAAAATATTTAACGCGAATATTTTCTTTCAAAAAAAAAAAAAAAAAATCTTTTTTAGAATACAATTCAAATCATTAGAACAAGAAGAAGAAAAAGATGTGTTAGTAGTTGTTGTAGTAGTAGTAATAGCCGTAAAAAAAAAAAAGTGGAATCAATTATCACCATTCAACAAAAAAAAAATTGCGTCATGTTAATGAATAAAGATTAGAGAAACGGATTTTCAACATAAAAAAAAGAAGAAGAAATAATAATCATATTATGATATTTTATAAATCAAGCGTAATCGTCATCAGACTAAAGATTAAATAAAAAAATAATGAAATATTTTGACAGATGCCTATAAAAAAAATCCAACAACTATAGGGAGAAAAAATGATCATCCTTAAAGCAAAATTTAAGATATTGAAATAAATGATAGACACGTAGAAAATTAAAGACATTTTATCTACTTTAGGATATTTGTCTGATATTTTTTCTTTAACAAGTGACACGTTAAGTTTCAAGGATAAAAATAAAAACATTTATTTTCCCTTCTATTTTGATTGTGTTCAATATATATATATATATATACTCTGGCATATTTTGATTTTATCCGAGTGAGGAGAAGAAAAAAAAGGTAAATTTTACACATAATATACGATATTTTAGCTGTCACGAAGTCTCTCTGCTGGGATAAGATGTAAACATATATATGTTTATTAAAATAAAAACTAAAACTTACGAAAATCTTCTTTTGGTGGTGTAAATATGTAAGCTGTTGATGGTTTTCCATCACCTTTTTTTGTAAATGCTTTGACTTGTGCATGATAAGTGGTACCAGGCGTTAAATTTCCCACAATATCTGAATATACTTTTCCAATTGTACCCTCATAATTACGATGTACAATTGGTGGTTGTAAACTATTTGGTGCAAATACAATAACATAAAAACCTTTAATATAACCACCTAATAATGATAAATCTTCATCATTATTTGAATCAATGGGATATAGCCATGTTATATTTGCTGTTGTTTGATTAATCATAACGGCTGTAACATTGATGGGTGCTACTAACGGTACTAAATTAATAAAAAAATAAAAAAATAATAAAAAAACAAAAATTGTTGAATATCTGTTTTTTTTAGTCAAATTTTGATATAAATAAAACGATTTCATTTGAGTACTAATGTACGCAAAAACAAATAATAATGTTTTGAAACATTTTTTTTTTTATAATTAATTACGACTAGAATAAGTAACATGAATGATAATCGATTGAAAACATATTTTTTAAAAAGTATATTGATCTCTCATATTTTCTACTAAATTTTCTCTCCCTTATGGAAACCATCATCATCATTGAATATGTTGTTCTCTTCTTCTTTTTTTTTTTTTTATTTCTTCTTCTTCTTTTCTTGTTTGTTAAAAATAGTCAGCTAGATCGAAACTCATAGTAGTTTACTGTTTCTTCTTTCTTTCCGAAATTGTTTTTTTTTCTCATATTTCATTCTTTTCTTCTTTTTTTTCCTTTATACTCTTGCTATTCTGTTAAGTTTATTATAAACTATAGTCTATATTCTTGTTCTTCTCCTGTTCATTTTTTTGTTTTTTTACTTGCTTTCTCTCTCGATGTTATTTATTGCATATCATATTGTTCTCTTCATCTTTTTACTCTAGACGTTATCTATTTTATTTTAGATCCGATTTTCGAACATGCAATTAATACGTTTTCTAATTTTCTAAGACAAATATATAACGAATCAGTAGGCAACGATAAAAAACAGTTATACAATTTTGTTATAACTACAAAAATTGTAATACCTATCTTTAACAATAAAACCACAATAAATCAATTCTGAAATAAATCGAACATTTTGGAAGAAACATTTCAATATTTTTAATCGATAAATACATCGAAAAATATCGATCAGCATCAGTAGATGTTCGATAAATATCTTACTAAAATCTTTATGAATAGCATTCATCTAAAATAATCTACTTTTTACAATAATCTTAATCAATCGTCATTTACATACACAATTAATGAACTTTGTGTATTTCTTTGACAGTTAATAACTAACCTGTTCTAATTGGTGACTATTAAACATACGTTAATAAAATTTCATTTCGGTTAAGTATCTACTTAAATTAAGTAATCTATGATGTTCATTCATAGGCGATGAAGTGTTGTAAAAATAGGTGAGCCTCTAAATATTTTCTTCTCTCATCATTGAATTTTTATCGAAGCTTTTACACAGAATAAAAGTCTATCTTATTTTTAATATGAATAAAATAGTAGGGAAAGTAATAAAAAAAACAGAAATAACCTAAACATCACAGAAAAAAACCTGTTTTCTCTGTTCATTTTTCAGTGCTAAACTGGAACAAATACTGTTCATATCAAGAGAATTCATTATCTATTCTGTATATATATATATATGGATCAAATCGCCTATTTTAACGAAATATCAAATCCAAAAATAGGTGAGAGTTATGCCTGATGAGCCACTCGAGTCCACCATTTATGCGTTTCTTTATATAGTGACTGATATTCTAAAGTTAACAAGTGATGACAATATTCTTCTTTTCTAAATCAATCGTCTGTTTGTCTTTATACTATCATTATCAATTAACCATGTAATCCTTTCACAATAGATAAGTCAAAATACTTGAGAGTGTTAAATGAGCTAAATATATAGTAATATATAGTACTACTATTTATATTGAATAAAACGAGAGAGCATTTAGCTATGAACATTGCTTCGCTGAATTTCTATTCTTATATTTTGGTTTATATCGAATCACAATGAGTAAAAGAAGAAAAAAAAATCTTTTTTAAATATTGATTTCAGTCTAAAATATGACTTAAGCCGCTAAATACATGTGTATATCTCTTTCTCAATCGTATGGAAAAGCCGAGTATCTATCGTCAAGGAGGCGATAGATAAAATGACTAATTTTTTGCTTAGAGGTTAACATAATCTCTTTTATTACTCTACAACAGGACACATACCTACTCTTTCCTTTTGTTATTAAACAATCAATTATATCTCTGGAAACACAAAACGAACAATAATATACCTCGTACCACTTAAAATACTTCATTCATACTACTTAATTGTTAAGTGTCAAGTGTGTAGTATCTATATTACTCTATTAATAAAGGAAAAAGGAATTTTGTAAAATGTTGCAAAAAAGAAATAATTTTACCGTGTTTTATTCTTTTTTTTTTCTCTCCTTTTTATTTCATTAAGTTTATATTTATGTGTACATACAAGAAATTAACCTTGTCATGTAGAGCGCAATATGACACATTTTGTTGAACAACATGATGTCATAATCAAGGCACTGCTTGATAGAAACCTAAAAATGTTTCATTATTTAAGCTTCATAAAGTTTACATTTACCGATATCTTGATTAGATGTCTAATTCCTCTTCATTTTTCTAACATGGACTATTGTCTAATACTTTTTCATTATGCGTACAAATGAGAAAAAAAGAAAATGAATAAAATCAGCCAATTTTCATTGCATAAAAGATAACAATAAATAAATTGAAAAGAAATGCAAATAAAAAAACACATCAACTTAGTTTTTGCATTTATCAATAGAATATTTCTCAAAAAAAACAAAAAAAAAATAAAATAAAATAAAAACCCAACATTTGATAATAATCGAGTATATTTATAAAAATTAGAATCTACAAAAAGTCTGCCATTATTAATATAAAGAAAAATAATTATTCAAATGCACTTGAAATTATCATATGAAACACCATCAACATGATATTAAAGTATTATTTGTTGAATTTTTCAATTTTTGACATTTAAAACATAAATTGTTTATATGTTAATTTGGACACATTTTTGTTTTTGTTAACAACATGCACAAGTATAAAAATGATAAAAATTATTTTTATTCAAAATCTATTTGTTTTAAGAGTTTGTCTTATTGTTGTAGCTGACTTTGCCCAAACAAACACCACCTTATGGGAAAAATCTAGATATATTTCGTCTGTAATCGGACGATACACAACTAGTTGCAATCTAGATTTCTAGTTCGAAAAGAGATTTTTAACTAGATGTATCTGCATGTGTAACTAACAATAGTTAAATTGGATTATCGAGTGATAAATCGATAGTTGCAACTAGAAGAAATCTAGTTAGCGCCCCATTACTAGATTTCTACTGTCGTTATCCAATAGTTGCAATCGAGTAAAAAATCTAGTAATCTAGATGAATTGGGCGATACTAGATCTTTTTTTGACGCTTGGGTGTTCATCGGATATAAAAAAGTTGTTAATATTATATACACTGTTATACTACGAGACAACTATGAAATACGAAAAGAAATATGTAAAAAGTCTGTCTTTCATCTTAGAAACAGATTATTTATTGTCGTACAATACTCTTTTTTTGCTGTTTGCAATTTTATGATGTTTCTTTATTTGAATTTTATGGTTTATATGTCTAGAAATAGATGTGCCGCTCTTCTGTAATTGCTAAATTTTGATTGTAATTGACAATGAATTTTCGAGAAGTTTTCAATTTTCGAAGTTCCATAAGAAAAAAATGTCGATTTTTTGACAAGTTTCTAGACTAAAGTATTTCAGTTTTTCACACAATTTACTTTCTCTTGTTTCATGTTGAAACAAAAGGAACTGAGTCTGAGTTTTCTCTTTATGAGACGGGCACTAGAAAACAAATTCGCTTATATTTCTAATCAGAGCTTCTCTAAAAATAGAACAAAGAAAAGAATGATAAGCTCATGTTTTTTATATGCTCTTTCTTCAAAATGCCAGACAAGATAGATTTCACAATAATAGTTAAAGGACTTGAAAACGAAAAATTGTCAAAAGAGAGACAATTGGAGGAAAACAAATCGACAAGAGACAAAAGTTTAAAGAAGAATTCATGAAGAGACAATTGACAGCCTTGTTTATATGTTTTTCAACAGAAGAACAAAAAGGATAAAATAAAAATGGTATATCGTGGTGAAATATTTTTATTCAAGATATGTTGTTTTCTTTATGACTAATGAATGAACGTAAATAAACAAAGCAAATTTCATTTCAACTGTAATACAAGATAACAATGGCAGGCAAGGTCAATGCCTTTCTGCGTTCTATTCTAATAATAATAATGAATTTAGACAATAATACATTCCTCACGCACATGATATGTGTAATCAAGCAGGTGAGTATTTTACTCTATATTGAATAAAAACTAATGTAATATTCTATGTCAATTCTCTACTGTATATGTGAATATGTGTATACGTGAGGATCGATAGCAAGAAATAAAGTAAAAATTCTTTTTATTAAATATATATTTCTTCACCATTTCAGAAATGATTCGACTCTATTTCGGTATTCTTTTTGCATGACAAAAAACCAACAGAAGATGTTCATTATAGGCTGTTCTTGTAAGGGTACCAATACCTCATCTTTCTTGATCCTGTTACCAAAGATAGAAGGAAAGCCTTGATATCACAGATAGAATGTCGGAAAAGAAAATCGATGTATCTTTGCTCAGAATTTTCTGACATATTCTCCTACCGGTTTTCTAGGAAACTCTAGTTTTCATCCAGTTGTATTATGATCCTCGATAAAATGGTCCGATCAAGCTGGAATTTTTATCACAAATACTTCAGAGCCTATCTCAGATTCTAAATTTTTTTTCAAAAAAATGCTAAAAGTTCCGTCTAAAAACTTCATTTCTCATTTAAAAGTCCTCCCATGCCGAACGTTGACATTAAAAACGCTTAAAAAACTTTACAGCCTGAGCTAGGGAACTGCTCATGATTGAGTATCATTTCAGTATTAAAAATAACATTCGACAGGGTACTTTTTTGGTGACATTTGCGGTGATAGTTATGTCTCCATGAAGAACTGAATGTTTTTCAAAAAAGACGATCGTATCCGACTAACAAAAGACTCTATAGTACATAAACCTTAGTTGTTGACTATTATCGTACATTTTTATTACTACAAATTTTGATTAATATTTTGAATGCTGTAAAAGGCTGAAAAATCTACTTAGTAACATAAGATTTCCTAATGCGCCAAAAATCTATCCAATTTATCCGTTCCTAGCAGAAATATGAATTTTTAGCAAAAAAGTCGATTTCAAGCTAAGCATCTGTGCGAATAACCTACTATTAGAATCCATCGTGCTTTTAACTATATTTTGCATTGAAAACGTAGATTTTCGGAAATTATCTGGTCTCCTGCCTTCCCAACGGTTCTTTCAGAAAAAAAGGAACGTTAAAAATTTTTTAAGAGGAGCGCTGGGTAAAAAAGAGGAAAAGAGGAGGCATTTTTTCGGCCGAAAAACGGTACTGACAATGTTGTATACACGTCAAAGTGCCTTAAGACTCTCAAAGAAAAGATTTCATCCTACTTAAAGTATTTTTTTACGGTGTTCATCTTTCTTCATATGCTGTACTGTCAACTGCCGTCCTTTATTCTCACAATCTAATTCGCCGGTTTTACACAATGTACATACGAATGTTGATTCCTTAGCACCTTGCTTTAACCATCGTCTCACAGGGACTTCATTTACTGTTTTCTGTAACCACCAGTGATTGAATTTTGTTTCATATGACGGCATTGATAAAAAAATATATCTGAAACTACTTTGAACTCTGGTGTTTTTGCTAAAAAATCCCAGGAAAAGAGAAAATTAGCTCAAAAAGAGGAGAGATCTTTTAAAAAATTAAGCTTTTTGATTAAAATAAGGTGCAGAATAAATCTGGTTGATATGTCGATAAAATATTTTATGATGTTCACTAAAAACCTAGAAAATGCTGTTATTAGCGGCGGCGCCAGGAATTTAGACTAGGGTGGGCTCAGGCCCTCTGAATTTTGACCAGGATAGGCTCGGCCTCGCTGAATTTTGTAATGTAGTCCAGAAAAGTAATTAGTAAGTAAGTTGTAATGTAGTCTGGGTGGGCTCAAAATATTTTAGGGGGGGGCTGAGCCCACCCCAGCCCGCCTGTGGCGCTGCCACTAGCTGTTATACGCTAACGCCATCTGTTCTCCAGGCTGATTCTTTCTATTATGACGTTTCGTATTTCGTAAAATTTTTCTTTCGCCGATGCTAGAGAATTTGAGTTGATTTTAAAATGAAACACATAAATGTTGTTAAAGTTTAAAAGAGCTTGATCTATGAATATTTGTGCTAGTTTCCAACAAAAGGATGGATTTTAAAAGCCTTATCACATAAAAGAGTTTTAGATAATTAAACGAAGGTGTTCATATTCAAATACGGAAACATGTTCAAACGTGTTGCATGTGTTCAATTCCGTACTTGTGTTTGAATCTGAACACGTTCAAACACATTGCTCTATACACTAGTATGAATAAAAGAAATGATGATAAAGAACACTGTGTTGGTTTGAGTTTCGATCTATCGAACGCATTTGACCGCGTGCCAACGTCCATCCTTTTAATCAAACTTAAATCTATCGGAATTGGAGGAAAGCTTTTGGAATGGCTTGAATCATATCTGTCAAACCGTTCACAGTTCGTTAAAATAGGACAAG